TACAACTACTACCCTACCCCTACCCTTACCCTTACCCACTACCCGCTGCCTACCTCGACTAAGTACAGGGTTACATGATTATACCATAGCTGATGCCCTCTCGTTTGTTACATTGGCTGTGTGCGGTGGATTCACACACAGCCCGTATAGACAGTACGGTAGATGTGAGTCACTCGCCTCTACCTCAGCTCATACTGAAGCCCTCTGGTTTGACACGTGGGCTGTGTGGTGATATCGGTGGCTCACATACAGATTGTATAGACAGGAGGCATGCTTCACGCGCCTCTCCCCTCTTCCTTTATGTCATAGCTGAGGCCATCTGCTGGTAAAAAGAGAGATAAAAGTGTAAAATCCAGTCACGGCGCAGAATAACTTGTCCATTTCTAAAATAAAATTCTCAAGGTTTCGAGACACGAACACACTTCATGTTCTTTCGTATCTTCCTTTTTATATCTTATCATCTCCTTCAGCCGAAACCGAAGTGAATTTCCTCGAGCTTTCCAGCAGTCGCTCGGAGAACTAATAGCATTTTGATCGCTTCAATAGACCTTTACTCTGTTTACTTTCGGCGGTGTCATCGGTTGAAGGAGCAATCCTCGGAGATTCGAAAGTCATTGCACGCGAAGCGAATAAGTGCTCAGCAAATGTTCCGTGCGAACAGATTCGGAGTTAATACGACCCCCCTGTCGGGCGCAAGCCCACGTAGACATCGACCAGATCGAATTCATCCGAAAACGAAAAAGTATTCGTATAAAGTTATATAAAAAACGCAAACATATTTCGTAATAGTGGCGACGAGGTTGCTGGTACTCTAATACACGGACGGCCCGCGTCTCTCTCCCTCTCTTTCTCTCTCTTCCTCTCTCTCACTCGATACATCTCTCTCTCTCTCTCCCTCGTGCTACTCACTTCGATATCTGTCTTCCAATATACGCCAGGTCGATGTCTCTCTCCCTCTCTCGCTCTCTCTGATCTCTCTGCTGTCTCTCTCTCTCTTGCTCTCTCTCTCTGGCTCTCTCTCTTTCCTCAAGCTCTCTCTCTCCTCTTTTTCTCTCTCTCATCTGCTCTCTCTCGTCACCTGAACTGCTCTCTCTGCTCTCTGCCGTCACGCTCTTTTCTCTCTCTCTCTCTCTCTTTTCTCTCTCTCTCTCTATCTTTCTCTCTCTCGTTAACACTTTCCTTCTCTTTCCCTATCTTTCTCTCTCACTCTCTCTTTAACTCTTTATTTCTCTCTATCACTCTAACCGCAACTCTTACACACACTTTGCTTCTCTCCTCCCCCGTGGTAGCCGCGGGGAGTCACATACCTACTCTCTCCGATGGTACGTCTTCTGCTTTCTTCAACTTTTATTGCTGCTTCTATTTGTCTCACTCTCGTGGTCCATGCTTTCGTCGGACGGGATGGCAACAGACAGGCGGGGGGGGCCACCCCCCACCGCCCCTTTACCCATGCCGGGCTCCGGCCGCTCTTCTTCCGCGGATGGGAGGCGTGTGGGGGAAAGGCAGAGGGCGTGTCCCCCCGCCCTCCGCGCCCCCCCCCCCCCCAATCCACCCCCCTTTCCGGAGTTTTACGTTGGCGCGGGAGGGCGCGTCGCCCGTCACGAGCACATCAACGGAGACACGGGCATTCGATTCTGTCTCTAGCTCTCCCTCTTTTCTGTCTTTGCTAGCTATTGTCTCTTTCTCTTTCTCTCTCTCTATTTTTAACGGTCGTCCTTTTTCTCATGCCTTCACTCTCTCTTTATTGCCCTTCTTACTTTTCTCTCCCTGATCGCTCGATTTGTCAGTCTCGTAGCTAAGCACACTCTTTTTTCTCTCGCAACTGAATCAAACAATCACTTGGCGGCCTCGCCTCGCGCATGCGACTTCCTTCGTCTCTATCCTTTTCTCTGCGTTCTTTCTTATCCTATCCAATTCGCTAATTCGCCGTATAAAGCAGCGACAGCCGCCTTCTTGCCTCTTATCGTCTGTGATAACACTCACACATGCCTTACACTGTCGGCGTATACTACACGAGCAGCAAGCCAATCTATGGTGGTACTCTGCAGAAGACTAATGCTGGCAGCAGGAGCAGGCAGGCAGGCAGGCAGGCAGGCAGCGAAGAACAGGGCAGGCAAGGGGCTGGCTTGGCAGGCCGGTTGGCAGGAGGCAGGCTAGGCAGGGCAGGAAGGTAGGAAGGGAGGGTTGTATTGCATACAGTAAAGACAGTTTATCCATCCATCCATCGCATGCAATGCTATCCATCCATAGCATCATCGCATCCTCATTCCATTCCATCATCCATGCGCATCCATCGCATGCGCATCGGGCATCCATCCATCCATTACCATCCATCATCCATCCATCCTCCATCCATCCATCATCCATTCCCATCGCATCGCATCCATCGCATTCCATCATGCTCTCATCCATCCATCCATCCATCATCCATCATCCATCCATTCCAGTTCCACCATCCATCATCCCTCCATACCACCATCCATTAACCATCGCATCCATCCATCCATCCTCCATCCATCCATCCATGAACGCATCCATCAATCCATCCATCCATGCGCATCCATCCATACATCTATCGCCCGTCGTCCGTCGCGTCCCGTCGTACCCGTCCGTCATCCATACGCATCGCATCCATCGCATGCCATCATCCTCCATCCATCCGCACGTCCGTCCGTTCGCGTCCGTCCGTCCGTTCGTTTCGTTGGGGCGTCCGTCCGTCCATGCCATCCATCCATTCCAGTCCATACCATCATCCATCCATTCATCATCCATGTATGTTAGGCTGCAGATTTGGTACCAGGCAGACTGCCACGCAGCGGCAGCAAACGAGCGCACGCAGCACCCGCACACACACACACACGCACGCACGCACTGGCATGTTGTTTGGGAGAATGAACGTGAGGTGATGGATAGCGCGCTCGTACGTTCACAGGACGTTTAAGCTGGTTAGATGGCTCGCTCAGGGTTCCCGCGCACCTGTCTGCCGACGCGCCGAGAGACGCTGCGATAAATACATAGCGGATTTGTTACGTGTAATTGTCGATGGATTCTCACCGCGATGCTACGTCGTAATATTTTCTGCGCCGGCGGTGTTTGCTGCTGCTGCTATTAAAATATAAGGGCTGTGGACGAATGATTTGAATTAAATGCACACGCACGCGGGCATATGCACGCACGCACGCGCACGCGTATGTTCACGCTCGCACGCGCGCACGCATGTGCACACACGTGCGAGGGGTCATTTGCCTACATACTTATAGTATACATACAGATTACATTTGCTACATGTTACACACAGGTTATCCGACTTGACTTGATCTTTCTCTTTACTTCTCTCTTTCTCTCTCTCTCTTCTCTCGGATGCTCATCTCCGTCTCGTCTCCTGACATCTCTCTCTTCGGGTCCTCTGCGTCTCTCTCTCTTTTCTCTATCGCATCTCCTAATTTGTCTGTCGAAGCAGAAAGTCGAGACGAAGCAGCCGAGGCGTAGATATAAATGATGTGGAAGATATAGATCCGTCTGTGTGAAGGCACGAAAGCACTTACACTCACTGGCGCGGCTGTAACTTTTATGGGCCGACGCCGCAGCTGACGAGACGACGACACGACACCGATTAAAAAATATATATACCCGTGGTTTAATCGCGCTCGTTTCACGATATGACGAGCGTCTATTAAACTGAAAGCGCGAATCTATTAAAGTTTAATAAAAGCGAAGCAATAGCTTGAGCCATCATCGTCAGAGAGAGAAAAAAAGAGAGAGAGGAGCGAGAGAGCAGAGAGAGAGAGAGAGAGAGAAGAGAGAGAGAGAGAGAGAGAGGAGCGAGGAGGGCGAGGAGAAGGCGAAGAGCCCGCGCCAAAACGCAATCTTCTCCGATCGTATCTTAGAGGAGAGGGTGGATAGTTCGCCCGATTAATCACCTCTGTCGGAAACACGATCGCCTGCCAGGTTGAATTATCAACGTCTTTTCGCGAGCAATACTCGTGTAGCATTATAAGTCTGGTCTCGTCTCGTAGTTTAATGTCTAGCGTCGCTCCGCTAGGTGGAATTGATTGATTCTACTGGACCAGGAATTACGCTTTTGTGGTTGCTCAACTAGGCCGATGTTGTTCAGCTTGTTGGAGCGCACGCCAAGCCTGGGCCTTTCTCACGCCAATATCTTTACCTGACGAGGCTGATATACGAGCCTAAGTATTGAACTCATCTGACAGCTAATATTTTTCCATCTGAGAGTATCAGCCTCTACGTTATCGGGATGTTTTTAAGGGTACTATACCCTTCTATCCCTCGGTCTTTTTAAGTAATTCGAAGGAATAGTCCAAGTTTTGGCTGCATTGAGTCTGCCACACACATAGCAGATTCTTGAAGGCTTGTTCACGAGTCACCTTGATAGTGAAATAATCGTCATCGGCGCCCAGTCCAGATGCCGTTATCATGACAGAGCCGACCTCGCCTGCCTCGCGTTCTTGGGTAGATAGTAACCCGAGCTCTTCCTCGCGGCCATTTATGCTTGCGTAAAGCATACGTCCAAGGGCTATCACAAACAGTACGGGGCTAAGGTGTCACCTTAGAGACACGCTACTTCTATAAAATTAAGCATGTCTGTTCGCGTCGCGTGAGTAGATTTTGCCGAGGTTTTAGCGTACATATCGCTTATTGATGCAGCTATTTTAGGTGTATTGCCATATGGCCAGCTGAATTTTCATGAGCTTGCTTCTGTAATGAATCAAAGGCCTTTCTGAAGTCAACAAACGTTAAGACTGCGGGCAAGTTCTTCTTTTTTGCGCCCTCAATGAGACGTCGTAACGCAAGCACTTGTGCAGTTGTTGACCTTCCTTCTTTAAATCCATTCTGGTTGAGTCTTAAAATAGGGTCTAAAGGTGGTCTAATCCTATTCAGAATCATTCTGTTGTAAACTTTCGCAACCACTGAGCTCAAGCTAATTATCCTGTAGTTGTCCCTGTTTTTGAGATCGCCAGCTTTTGGTATGGGAATTATGTTCAGGAGATGAACCATTGCTCAGGAATCTCACGATTCTCATGCGCCCTATTATTAGTAATGCTCAAAACTAGGTCATCAATGTCCACCCACCTCAGAACGTCGGGAACAACACCATCTTCTCCACAGCTTTTCCCGGCTTTCAAAGATTGTTTGGCCTGATGATACTCATTAAGTGGAAAAGGACCGTCATCGATAGGAAGATCAAGGAAGACAGGTTCAATCTCCTCATCTACATCCTGCACTGTCGGGGGGTTGCCAAGCAGATTTTGTGACAGTACCATGAGATGACCCTGTCATCTGCAGTTTTGCCATCAATTTGGATGGGGTAATGTAAACGGTCCACGGCAATCTCCCTGACTAGTTTCCAGCTCGCTGAATGCTGGTTACTAGCGCAACATGCTTCAGCCTGCTCTACTTTCTTAGCGAGATCTTCTGCCAGGACCTCATCGTAAGTTCTAGACAGCTTTTCCTTTGCGTGAATGTAAGCATCACCATCTCGCCTATCACATGCAGTAAACGAATTGTAGGCCTCGTCTACGTCCCGGCGCCCGTCAGCTACTCGTGGGTCTGCAGAAAAAAGTATGTCCTTCCTTTTCTTTGTTAGAGGAGTCAGCACCTCCTTAGCCGCTTCGTTATTAGCTTCTATAAAGCGTGCATACCGAGAGGTACCTGTTTGATCGATGTCCTCGCAAAGAAGCTGGAATCTATTTCTGATTGCCACCTCGTATCTATCCTGCAGTTCTAAGTTATTCTCGAGAGCCTTCCAGTTATAACTAACTTTCTTCGACGCGCTCTTCTTCAGTGCTCTGAGACTTAGACGCACTTTAACCGACACAACCCTGTGGTCAGAACTCACACTTGCCAATGTGTTGTAAGTTTGGCAATCCAGAATGCTGTTACGCCATTTTCGTCTGGCGATGAAGTCGATTTGCTGTCTGTGTTTAACACCGTTAGTATCTGGTGGAGAGATCCAAGTCCATAACTTCTTGGGTGCCTTCTGGTACTAAGTATTGCAAGCTATTAGGACATGCTCTTCCAATAAATCAAGAAGATACTCTCCATTTCTGTTAGACTTCTCGTGGCATGAGAATAACACCTCGTCCCTGCCCAGACGTCCGTTAAAATCGCCCAGGATAAGGAGAAAGTTATGGGCAGGCACAGCGCTTATTGTGCTACTCAGGTCCGAGTAGAATGTCTCAATTTCTTCCTCCGTCGCTGCACTTGTTGGAGAATAAGCCGAGATAACTGTTGTTATTGGATGGCTCTCAAAATTGGCTAGCAGAATTCTTGCAGATACAGACTTGACACTCAAGAGTGCTTTCCTTGCTTCTGGGCTCAGGGTTAGGGTTAGGGTTAGGGTTA